ACTACTGAACACTTATAATGCACCAGGCACAAAACCTTCCTCAGATCCAGCATGCACAACAATATGCCGTTTTCCAGAGGATATCTTTGTAGTGACACCAGTTGTTGAAGGTCCTTGCCAAGACTTTTTAACTTTATAATTCTGATGTACATAAGTTTCATCAAGGTACACAATTTGCTTTCCTTCGTTTCGTTTTATATTTATTTCTCTCAAATACTTGTGCCTCCATGCAGAAATCTGGTATTTTTCTATAAGCATAGAACGTTCATTTTCATTGCTTTTAAAAGAAAATCCATTCTTAAGCATAATTTTTCGTAAAGTCTCACGGCTACCACTGAATCCTATTGCATCTTTTAATTCATTGTGAAGGCTTCTTAATGTTGGAACAATTTTTTTCACACAGTAAAATTCATTTACTTTATTCCGAATTGCACTTAAATCAAAATTATCTAAAGCAGACACTGTTGGTTGATGAGGTCGTTTTTTCCCAGGAGTGTCCCATTTTCCTTTATTAATTAATGCTTCATTTTTTATCCTTCTTAGTGTCCTTATACTTACATCTATAAAAGATTAAACACTTTGAAACAAAGATATGTTAAATGTATTTAAAAGCAAATAATGATAGACACATACATCAAAATAATTTAAATACCTATTCAACTATGAATGCAATTTATGTTTAATTTAGTTAAGTTTATGTGCATATTTAGCATGTATAACAATTACATGGTTTGATTAGTTTCATGAATTCTGTGAATTTCCTTGTTAAACAAAACATTCTTATGACATCATTGGATGTCAACAATAAAAACCAATACATCATAAAAAACCTATGTAAATATTATAGGAATACTATCAATCTATCTTAAATCAAAACAAGAAAAGAGACCTGTCATTGAAGAAATTTTTTGTAAGTACTGCGTTTCCGAATTCAGCATTTCTTGTTTTTCTAAAGTTTTTATTGCATTTATCTCCTCCATTATTGGTTGAATATCACCATCACAGTTATCTGAAATAGAGCAATATTTTATAAAAAATATCTGTTTAGTTAATTACAGAAAATTAAAACGAAAGTATCAAAATTATAATACAAAACTAACCTAAAAAAGATACAACTTTATCTAATCGTTGTAATTTCTCCATGAAATTTTTATTTAATTCAGTTTTCACTTCAGTAAACTTGTCAATCATGATGGAAAGAAGTTTCCTCGATGAACTTTTTATCGGCTTCGACATAATTTTTAACCAAAAACACAAGTTCAAATTCGCAAAAACAACAAAATTCAATATTCTTGAATTGTCTAACGTAGTGTCAAACTGACAGTTCTATGTTGTTGCCATATGAAAACGGAAAAATAGGTGGTGTCACGTTTCGCTTGCCAAACTCTAGCGCAAAGTTGAAAGTGAAATAGTCTGACATGCTGTTGTCTGTAATTATAAAATGTAATTGTGTACAGAAATTAAATTAAATAATAAATGTTAATAATAACTAAATCAGAATAAAATACATTAAATATGTAAAGGGACTCCCATATAACAAACGTGATTTTTTATCGTTTTTAATTATATACTTGCATTGTATTTTGGTTATATATTATGTGAAAATAAATACAGTTCAAACTTTCTTTTTTTAACTTTTAATTTTAATTGTAAAGGATATTATTCCATAGTTGATTATTTTGCAGAATAAAAAAAGTGTTATTTAAATTATTTTTGAGTTGCATAATTTCGTTAACACATTATTTTTCAAGGTATTTACAATTCCACGGTAACATGAAACAAATAACAAAATTTTCTTGACCCTTTTATTAGACAAGTTCTCTAAGATAAGGCATATGCTTGATTGGAATAATATAAAAAACCTTTAATCTACATCGCGTAATAGTTGCACTTAATCATGTGTAAATGTGTGCATATTTTTTGTATTATTTAAGTTAAAAATATTGTTTTCTTTTTTCGATGCCTAAAAAAATATTGAATATACTAAATAATAATGGCATGGCATGACGCAGCGCAGGACCGATCGTCGTGGAGATCTATTCTATTTTTAACCCCCGACACAAAAACGACGGGGTGTTATAAGTTTGACGTGTCTATGTGTCTGTAAATGTCTGTCTGTGGCATCATAGTTCCCGAACGGATGAACCGATTTTGATTTTGTTTTTTTTTGTTTGAAAGGTGTATTAGTCGGAAGTGTTCTTAACTATGTTTGATGAAAATCGATCCAAAATGGCCGCCGGTACAAAATGTCGGATTACATATTTTGTCGCGATTCCATCAATATGGGTATCAAATAAGAGGGCTTGAGTAGTAGAATACCGAACACTATGACAAATTTCAAATCCAAGATGGCCGCCACCAAAAATGTTGGATTATTTACATATTTTGTCACGACTCCCTCTATACGGATATCAAATAAAAGGGCTCGAGTAGTAGAATACTGTATACTATGACAAAATTTTATATACAAGATGGCCGCCGCCTCCAAATGTTGGATTACCTACATATTTTGTCACGACTCCCTTAATACGGATATCAAATAGAATACTATAGGTACACTATGACAAATTACAAATCCAAGATGGTCGCCATCATAAAAGTACGAAATTATATAATAGGTACAGACAGTCACATGTCGGGTTACCACAATCTAACACTGAAAGAATTTTTCAAATCGGACCAGGGAACTAATTGTATAACTTTAAAATCTATCGCTACCGCTTTCGGTTTGAAAGATGTTGTATAACCATTGCTTGTTTCTGAAGACAGTTGAAAAAAAGTATTTGTAATATGCAGCAATGGTTGTGCAACACCTATCAAACTGAAAGCGATTGCGATAGATTTAAAATTAGACAATCAGAGGGCGGTAGTTACTGAGATTAGCGCATTCAAGCAAGCAAACAAACAAACAAACAAACTCTTCAGCTTTATAATATTAGTATAGATTACCTATTGAAAGCATGAAGTTATTTGAACTTATATTATTATACGGTAAAATACCTAACATAAATACATTAATTATATAACTATGAAATACTTGTACGAAAGTAGAAAAACTAAAAGAACTAGAAAAAGATAATCAGCAAATTAACTGAATTGCAACTTGCAAGAAAATTAATCAAAAATGAAGGACTCTCTAAAAAAGCGAGAAAACATAAATAGTTAAATTAAAAATTTAAAATACCCCCGACACAATATATTTAAAAAAAGTTAAAAGCTAAAAACAAATTAAAAAACTCATCATCATCATCATCATCAGCCGGAAGACGTCCACTGCTGAACATAGGCCTCCCCCTTTGAACGCCACGATGGACGACATTGCGCCAGCTGCATCCAGTGGCCGCCCGCGACTCGGACGATGTCGTCCGTCCATCTAGTCGGGGGTCGACCCACGCTGCGTCTTCCGGTTCGTGGTCTCCACTCGAGAACCTTTCGTCCCCATCGGTTATTGGTTCGTCGAGCGATGTGGCCTGCCCACTGCCACTTCAGCTTACAAACTTTGCGAGCTATGTCGGTCACTCTAGTTCTTTGGCGAATATCCACGTTTCGGATCCTATCGCGCAAAGAAACCCCTAACATAGCTCTCTATGCCTCGCTGAGCGACTCTGAGCTTCTCTAAGAGGCCAGCAGTTAAGGACCACGTTTCAGTGCCATAGGTCATCACTGGCAACACACACTGGTTATACACCTTCGTCTTTAGGCACTGTGGTAATTTGTGGACACAAATGATGCAAAAAAGGGATAAACGTGAAACCCTTTAAAAAGAAAACAATAACCTTGACATTATGACCCTACATAATTATTACCTTTAATTAACCAATAATAAAATTGTTTAATAAGAACGCAGTTCTTATTAAACAATTTTATTATTTTATTATTAAAGTATTCAAAATATGGATGGGGCTTCGAGATCCCATAGAAGTTTTATACTTGCGGAATCGCCGAGTAAATGACAAAATGAATAACTTACAGCCAGTTGCAAAACGTCCAATAACATTGTTATTTGTTTAAAGTGACATTACCGTTACAAATTTTAAATTCATTAGAAGCTTAAAGGCGTTAATAAACCTTAATAGGCGTTTGTGTAACTGACCGTTTGACTAGTCACAATATTAACACTTCTTCTTATAAAGCTATCTGCCAAAGACTGGCGATTATCTCAGCAAAAATCCCTCTATCAATTGCTGCTCAGAATAAGGATTTCAATCACTGACGCAAGTTTTTGAGTCATGATGTTTTACATTTACCTTTTATTAATGCCAGACTGTTATCCTGTGCCAACGTCATCTGTGATGATGTAGCTTTCCGTGGGTGAAAAAAATTTCATGTAAGGATCAGTATTTATGAAAACTACCCCTCACAAATAAAAATTTACTTCTTCAATATATTAGTATACATCATACTACAACAGATTCAAATTTATTGTAATTTTGAAATATATCTTGCTATGTAATGCCCTCTTTGTTACAGAAATAGTTTTCTGGTTGTTTGATCGAAAATGACCAGAATATGTCGGTGAAAACGATGGTATGGTATCGGTTGTGCCTATTTGCTCTTTTACTTGACTCGGTTGGAGTACTTCTATGCCCCTGATTCCACAAACAATAACAAATAGTTAGTTACCTTTTTTCTAAATGAAAACCGATTGAAGTGATTAATAAAACAAATTTGGTAGTCAAACGCAATAAAAATGTTTAATAGCAGATAATTAATCTCATACAATAAAATTTAGATTAAATGAAGAATTATAACAAAACCGGTTGGTATCTGAAAAGAAAAACAAACAGAACATAAATATCAGGGTTTCCAAACTTATTAATACTAAATTGTAGACTAAGGCTACATTATAAGCCAGTCACAGTCCTTGAAAGACTCTATACATCTAATTACGAACGTCATAGTATAACGTAGGTTTTATGAGTAATATTTATTTAAATGTTCATTAGTTCATATTGTATCACTATGGAAAATACATTGACAATAAAGCCAAATTTACGATAAGTTTGTAAATAATTTATAATGCGGATTGGAATGAATGCAATAATGTGTTATTGTTTTCATTATCAAACTTTGTCATTTGTTTCTATTTATTTGTTGGAGCTGGCGATATCTGGTGTTAGGTATGACAAAGGTTAGATGTAATCGAAATAACTCCATAAGTGATGAGCAATAAGGTCGGTTATCGTGTTTATTTCAAATAAACAATGGATGTCTATGCGTCAGTGTTACACAGATTAAATACTTACAAAAGGTAATTTCCCATTGTGCATTGTGTAAGATTTTTTAACTATTTAGTAATTGTATGAATGCTGTACCAAACCATAAAAAAAGAATTATAAATGTACCTGGACTAAGTAATTCATGGTGTACTATTCAAAATGGCCAGATAATTTGAAAAAATATTATATAATCATTTACTATTATGATAAAAATTATGTAATAAAAACTAGACCTAATTTTATTCCATTGATTGAATGTCGACATACATTATTTTCATATTAAAGTCCCTATTCCTAATTACCATTGAATTAAACTGCATTATTTTGATTTTATAAAGGTAGTGCGACAAATTATGCAAAAAAGCATCGTATAAAAATCAAGATAAATAGTTGATTAAAATGTAGTAATAAGTAATACTACTAGCTAATAATAAGTAACTAGTAATAAGTCTAAATAAAGTTAACAATATAGCGGTATTTGATTTGTTGCTATTATTGTCGGCTGAGTACAATAAATAGTGCCATGATTAATTACTCGATATGTTCTGTCACATAATACTACAATGCGGATTCCGCTCATTCTGGATGTTTCCATTGAAAAACATTATAGATTTAAGCCGAATTAAGAACTTCGAATGCACTACCAGAGTATTATAAACAAAGTGTAAGTTCTCTTTAGACATACGCACCGAAAATGGTTAGTATGTAAGCACGCCTGTACGTATGCGTCGTCGCACGCACACACTCAAAATTTATCAATGTCAAAGGTGCTCAAGGTACGAGTGGCAATTCGCCAGTCGTGGCTAGAACACCGTTCTCATGCATATTTCGCGCTATGTTGCCGCTCGTTACAAGATGGCTTTGCAATCTAAATGAATAGATTGTAGTATTAATGGATATATCAATAGCAGTTTGTCAAATGCAGAATAGGGATGACGACTGGGTAAAAAAAAAACTATTTAGTCCGCCAGTCACATAAAAGAAAAATAATATTTTTTTTTTGCTACTATTTAAACAAGAAATAGCTTAGATAATAGGCATCAAAGTTGAGGAGTGGGGCTCACTACGTCATACTTTTGTAGAAAATGTACAAAAGCGTGACGTCATGCAACATTTCAACTCAATGTATAGAAGAGGGAAGAGAGGAAGAGGGTCAAACATTCCATTGAAATTGTTATACATTGGTATACATAGTTACATTTTATCTAAAACTTTAATTTAAATATTCATTCGCTGTGTAAATTATTTATAAGGATGTTTTTAGGAGTTTTATAAATCGAGTATATGTTAATTCGTTCTTTAGGTATTCGGATAATTTGTTATAGATATTATAATGTCAGTCGTAATTATAATTTTGTGTAGCTATTTACCTATCAAAAGTCTTAATGAATTATTTCTGCTCAAGATTTCGTTTACCGGATATTAATTTGTAGTTTAATTTACTTGTCGAAACAGGCGGATGTTTTTTCTGTATCAAATATGTAATTTTGTTAAAAATCACACTTAAAACTACTTTTTAAAAAACTATTTGAAAACGAAATAATAATTAATTTAAAAACAACAGATAAAATGATGTAGGTATTAATAAAAAATATTGTTAACTCCTATATATATATATATGTATAACATAAAAAACGTAATTACATTATCGTCGTATACAGGGGAAAACTATATTTTATAGAGATTGATTGACCATGAATTTCTGACGACTGAATAACCTATAAGCGACAGCCCTACATGTTTAGGCAATGAAAAAAATTAAAATTGAAAAGTTCGAAACTTAGATACCAATACAAATACGAAAAAGTACAATTAGAATATGAGTTGTTAATTGAGTTTACTTTTAAATATGAAAGAAAACCGGAAAGGTTGTCAAAGAGAAATCGAGAACGTACCGTAGCGAAATCTAGTTTGATTTTGGGAACTTATGTTTTTTTAAAATATATCCTCATTATCTCTCGTTCGGGGCTCGGGTCGCCCTACTTATCTTAGTCATATTTTGGCCCTACTTACTGAATATTAAAAAAAAAGGCCAAAAAGTAGATACTCAGATCCACAAATAAAAAAGTTATCAACACAACAAACAATAACAACCTTGAGATTATTTATTTCGATCAGCTGAGTCAACTATGGACTGTCAAGGCAAACTTTATGTTATTAAGTTCATTCATTAAGACTTACTTGATTCTATTTGTTTCTTAAACCGAACATATTCTTTTTCTCCTCATCTGTGTAATCGGCGAATTTATTGATCCCATAAGTTGCCGAAGGATTCATTCTGTTCGACTCGTTTATAGTGTGAAGACTTTTGACAAACGCTTCATAGTGCTGTTTTCTGTCTTCGTCATCTTTATACACTCTCTCGTAGTCTTTGATGAACTGTTCGAATAATACGGGTGCGTCATTCAGATCGTACTCGCGCGAATTGGATGGAGCGGCGGCCGCCATTGCGATTGCGCAAACAAGCAAAACAACACTAACCAACTTCATGTCGTTGCGGAGCTACAGTCTATTCTGTTGTGACAACCGGTTATCAAAACGGAATAATTTATACGACTTGTGGCTATGTTACTGCTAATATACGTTTCTGACTTACTCAATATGTTTGTCATTATTTTTATGACAAATCAATTCGTTTTAGAGCGAATTGTATAAGATATATTAGTAACATATTACAGGATGTGTTAGATCATATAATTGGTTACAATTCTTACTAATAATTATTCTATCCTCATTACTAATAAAAGCCGAGTGTAATCTTTTGAATGTTTACCTGTGATTTTTGGTCGATTAAGAAAATATTTTTGGAAATTCAATGCCCAAGGAAGTGAAACAGGAGTTTCAGTTTGTTTGAATCAGTTTTGAAATAAGAAACGTGAGACTTTATTTTTAGGATAACAAGTATAATAAAAATATGTAAAGATTTGTTTCAAGGTTTTAGGAAATTTGACCTACTAATTAATCTGTAGAAATCTTAATTCTTCGGGTATGAAATAGGGGTTGAAAACTTGTATGGAAGACCATTATTTTTCATCTACTACATGGACGGAGCTTAAAATAATGCTAATACAAGGGGTTAAAGTATAAAATTGCCATTTATTGTAATAGGTTCCTTGAATTGACATAGAATCTTCATGGTATGAGGTTTTCGAAAGAAACTTTTTTCACATGGTTTCTATGATGTTTTCTTTTTAAAAATGTGAAACATTCGAGTGATTTTTGAATACGAGTTCCGAGGCGGAAGTAACGCGGCAGAAACAGCCCGCATTATCAGTGTTGCGTTTGGAGAGGGTTCTGCTAATGAACGCACCGTGCGATTTTGGTTTAAACGCATTCGCGATGGAAACTTCGACTTGAAGAACGAGCCACGAGGAAGAGTTATATCATTATTATTATTGTATTATTACTATTAAAAATAAAACAATGATAAAGTTTAAAATATGGACTTTATTCTTTCACTTTCTGAACCAACCTGGTTATTTCTCTAACTAAAAAGACATAAATAAAATTATAATTAAAATAAAACAAAAACCCACTTGTGTGTAAACCAACTAACTGGAAACGCTGGAACAAGATAAACGTGTATGGGAATGGGTAATTACAATGCCTACGATTGTAATTACCCATCTATTGTTCATCAATGAGAGAATGATTTGACTTATTATTCAATTTCATGTCTCCGACTGCATGTTATGTATGATGTTGCATATTTTTGTTATTTTGTCACATTTGAATATTTAACGAAGTTTAAAAGTAAAGTCATATTTATTCGTATAATAATGTATTGAAGTAATGTGAATATCATTTATTCAGAAACCTGACAAAACACCCATATACTTTTTATTCTTCAATTTGAAAGATGGTGGGATGACTTTTTAATTTGTAATAAGAAAGAACAAGTGTTTTTGTGTAATTTTAAGATCACTAGTATAAAATGAAGTTTATGTGGGTAGGTAAATCTATTCTTCTTTTTCCATCCCTTAATTTCAAAGGGCTGGGTAGTATTCTCAAAAAAATCTGCTTAAGTCCATAGCAAGTATAGTGATATTAAAAATAGACTTTCAAACCTCTGCTATCAAAATCAGGGGAATTCTCATTTGAAATTCTATTCCCAGATTTAAGGGGATCGGGATGACAGTTCCAAAATTTAAAATTATTATGCTTTTTAATGCTAACGCATGCTTGAACACAAACTTTCTACGATTTTAAGAAGTATCAGTGAGTCCTCATTACTTATTATTACTGAATAAATAAGGACTCACCCATGATTAAAGAGCCAGTGACGAAATTTTAATCAAAGAGGTAAAAAACAACAACAAAGTGCTTCTAGAAAATGTAGGTTGCGATTCGTTTGGCTTGACTTGGCGGGTCAGTTATGGCCCTAAAATTATGCCAATAACACGGCGTGTTATACATATAAAACCAATGAGTTTATTTACTCATTGTAGAAAACCGTTACAATTTGTCAAAGTGCAAAATCAACACGGAGATACATATCATAGAAGTGATAGTTTGAAGTATTCATTAGGTCAGTAAGGTATGCATTAAAATTTACGCTTTTGAATTGTACAAGTTTAAAGCAGAAGGTATTTAAAATCACACACAGTATAAGGGCAATAAATCCTTAATAAATTATTTGTCAAAATTATCATTGGAGATGCTTTAGGAGTTTTCAATAGTAATTTTTTCGAAACAAAGTTTTATTTTTCCATTAAATAAATTGTTACTTAGAGTAGATCTTCGTATAGCCATGCTATTGCCAATTAAATCCATTGTTCCTTAGAATAGATCTTTATGGTATACTCTGTATAGTATGGCAGCTTAATTTTTTGGATATCAGTGTTGCGAGCAAATCAACTTTATACTTGTGAATTTCAATGTTTATTTTTTATTCTTAAAAATTATAATTTAGAAAGGAATTTCTGGACATTATTAGGAGATTTTTCCATGTTAGGGGCAGGGACATAATTCCACAGTGGCGTAGCTACCAAGGGGCTAGGTTGCCCCGGGGCCCTCGAGCTCAGGGGGCCCTCGAATCTTTACCAGAAAATCTCAATCGAACTCAACTTTTGAAAATTTCTCCCATCTTCAAAATAAAAATGACAGGTGACAACTCGAGTTTAATAATGGAAACTCAGTTGTGAGTAATTCCAAAGTTATAATTAGGTACCCTCCTTTGCGTCGCGCAGTCGGGTAAAAAGGGAATTCTCGTAAATTATTTCTGTGGGTTGACAGTGTTATTAATGTTTTCATCAATTTGTTGGATATCAATATCTGCATATTAATATTTATCGATATGCGTTTTTGTGATTCGCGATTGTGAACTTCGAGTCAAGATTTTTTTTCGAGAATGGTTTAAAAGTTATTGTATCAGGAGTAAGTAATGTCGCCCTGTCTGCTCCTCGGAGCTGATACAGGGCGTGATGAGGTCGGTCTTCTGTGGTGCACCGACCTACGGGGGGGGATCTACGGTAAGGGATCTGCCTGTGTGGATCCTCCCAACACGATGGGTAGGGGACCGGAGATTGCACAGTTGCGCATCTCTGGTCTCTAGTCAGGGGCAGCTGGCCGGTTCGCGCACCGGCCGGCATTGCACGCTCCTACCTCGTCGTGGGGGTGCGCCTCGAATGTCTCTGAGACGAACTCCCAACCCGCTGTGGAACCTGCCCTTTTCAGGGCGGGCCGAAATGGGGGCGAACGGCGCGGTGTATGGCTTTCGGGCCGATCCCGCGCATCGCATTCTATGCGAGGGACATCGCTGAGTTTTAGTGGGTAAACTCCTGTTTCTTGTCAAGCCCCTTCGGGGGTGGGGCCACAGGAGGAGTCCCACATCACCCGTGGAGCCCGCGCAGGGTGAAGCGGGTATGCGTAACGCATTTCTCAGCGTCAAAAAAAAGGAGTAAGTAATGTCAATAAATTTTTTGTACTGTTCCATACAAAAGTTCAATTTTATTTGATTGTAGTCCGTCAAACCATCAAATGTGGTAACACTGGCGGCGATAAAATGTTTGCCGAGGATTCCCCAACGACGTCTTGTATCGTATCATTACGTTTCGCTTTCCTTTTACTTGTAACGTTGTCAGTGAACAGTGAGTATCTACCTGAGTACAGTCTTACATATATATGGCATAAATAAATTAGAAAACTAATATTATGGACAAAAAAAAAGAAACCCAGTGGTGCATTTAAACGCAAACAACGCCAAGAAAGAGGAGAAAGTAAACAAAAATTGCCCAAAATTGACAAGTTTTTTAGTCTGCCTTCTGCAAGTACTTCTGGACCAAATATTTCTATTGATAATTTTTGTAAATAGCTTGCATGGCGATAGGTTAAATAAGAGTAAGCTGGTGTAACGTATCTATGAATAAATAAATATATAATAAACCCTTGAATCTTTTCTATTTCGTTTTATTGCCCAATACCTACACCAAGTATAAAAATAATTGTAATTTATGTTGTTAGTGTTTAATAGTTTTATTACCTGCCTATGCACGAAAAAGAGCTGATGATAAAGTTGCTTAGCATTTTTAAAGTATTTGTATATTTAATGATTTTACTTCAAAAAACCTTACCAGTTTTGATAGCAGTGGGCCCCATTTTTTTATTTGCCCCAGGGCCCTAGATTACCTAGCTACGCCACTGTAATTCCATATTACTTTCCTAAATAGACCAACTAAATTATTAATAGTTCTAACTAACAGTGGTCCATTAGTTTGATTTTATTTAACTCGTACCGTAAATCGCTACGCGTGCGTAAGAAATCGGTTTCATATATTTGCACGGTATGCGCGAGGGGCTGATGTAATCAGTTCAATACTAAACATGTACTCGTCAGCTAGAACATCAGTCACAGTCACAGAATCTTCATGTGCACAGGAAAGCTAGTAGTCCCGATGATGACCTGACTTATGACTAAAATTTATCGTTATAAAACGATTTATTATAATTTGAACATACATTTGGCTATTATGGGAATAAATAGATCTACACTGCGGATACTCAGATTCAACATGCACTTTATTAGTTGTGACTTGCTGTAACTAAAGTGTGGAATGAATGGTGGAATTTGTGTATACTTACATATATATTTAGCATAACGGTTATCAATTTATTGACATTGTCCTTTTTCCTCATAAAACTTTAGTGTTAAATTCCGCGCAATTTTCATTGAAACTGGTGATATAAAGTTCTTAATCACGAATCTTTACTAATATTAGGTCTTTACATATGAAATTGGAGTTTGGTATAGGAGGAACAAAAAGTCGATTTTTTTTAATATAATGTATTTATTTAATCAAAGTATAAACCATTGTTATATATGCATTTTTGCCTTTTCAAAGGTAGTTCATTGATCCCCTAACTAAAAAAACCATTCGGACAGGAATCAATAAAATCTTTGAAGGCATTGCCCCATTGGAGATGAATTTTTTCCGTTGCAAGAAGTTATCCAAATTTCGAAAAAAATGGTAATCTGTTGAAACAAGGTCTGGGGAGTACGGTGGATGTCTTAGACATTCCAATTGAAACTCAGCTTTTCTTATTTAGTAGTCGTCTGTTGTGCAGTGTTGTCTAGCGTTGTCGTGAAGTAGCAGTGGCGTA